CAATATCGCGCTAGTTCAGTCATGTTCCAAAACGTGGTGTGAACTGATACTCTGATAATCACATTGGTATTACCATATTGCATAAGTGCCAGTTCACTGTTAATGAATGATGACTCAAAGTGTCATGAAATATTGTTATACAATACGTTTAGATACACATGGTCGAAAGTATGAGTAGTCAATGTCATTCTCCCAGAGTATATCGCCATGACAGTCTTAAAGAATGATGATGGTTGTTAGATTCATTCCGCTGTGAGTTGTCTTTTCTAACCTTAGTTGTCAGCGTAATGTATCATAGAGGCCACAGAAACCTTTCCACTTCCCTAAGAAATGTCTGATAGAGTTTGTACAGAGTAGTTTGTCAGAGTAGTTTGTACAATTCTGACTACATCATGGGGCTGTCTAGGGCGCCAGACTAGTGATCCAGCGAGTTTGAGGTGCCGGGATCAAACCTACCTGTGACCGGGTGTCAAAACCTTGGAGTCAACTTTGTGTACAGACTTTTTCAGTGTTGTCACAACCCCTAGTGTACAGTACACAACCCTGTGCACTTAAAAGAACCCACGAATCCGTTTGGTAAATGACCAGATGGTGGTCACACGAATACGCCAAAACACCTAGTTGCGGGTACAGCAACGTGCAGTAACCCCTGAACAAAGTACCGTGGCTATATGTCCCAGTCCACCCAGCTGAGGTGAATTGGTACCTCAAAAGGATGAGAAAGCCACATTAACTCGGTTAAGATTGATAATACGATGTGCCGTTTGAGATTGATATCCAATGATCGAGGATAAATCATAGCACCTTTGAGCAGCTGATATTGGCGCCATACAAATGTTAGTATAATTATAATAATAATAATAATAATAATGGGTTTTCATGACACCACATTCAGCAGTATTACAGATGTACGACGCGGTTTGCAAACAATCGAGTCTGGACCAGAAACTGGAGTGTTAGACACTATGACATATGATGACTGAGCATGTGTTTATGAATCAAATAGTGACGATACCACGTGTTTAGTGAGGAATGCCTGAAGTGATGCAGATAATTTATCTTATCTTCAACTGTCTATAAACGAAATCCCGGGTTTCTTCTACAAGGTTACCAAATACACCTTCCACGAATGTATTAAAAGCAGAAGACCTATGAAATCTACGTTAGTAGACCGGCCCGAGACCGCTAACTTGCGCCAGGGACGAGTAGTGAACGTAGTCCTCAATGGACAGTAACATTTCAGGACTATAACTGTGAAACTGTGCCATCATTTGGAAAATGGTTATAACTGTCAGGAAATGGAAACCTGGATTGTGATGTTATGTGACCATTATGAGGTGACAATCTCTCTAAAGTGTTCCTTTGAAGAAAAGAAACATTTCCTTCACACAATTACGTCCGAGAGCATATCTTTGTAACAAAAGGCATCCAGTGTATTTCCGGCTTTAAACTTTCCATCCATGGCCACACGATTACCGCTTCATTAGAATAACAGTGAAGTAGGTTTTCTACTAGTCCTTTGAAGAAACTGAATTTCTGATGTCATGGAATACTGGGGACGAGGTGATTATATAATGATGAGCCAAATGATTAGTGTGTGATCATATCTAGCATGTTTATCACTGGTATATGTGGTCCAGACTCAATTATTCACAGGTTAGTGCTCTGTGGCTGGACCATTGGTGGGTGTAGCGTGAAACAGATCTCAATAACTGTTTGTCCGAATCTATCTTTGTGATTTACAGCGAGTGAAGACTGACGGTAAACTGGACATTCAATTCCTCAGTTACTGGTCAGATGGCAAGGAAAGCAGTGGATACTGTTGTGACGGTTCGCTCCAAACGGGGTGCCTTGATAAGTGTGATCCAATGTTTATCCTGTGCATTGCTGGGTAGGTACAATTAAAACGTTTATTGAGAAAACACACGAGCCCAGTATATGAGTTCCTGACAGTTTTGTATTTGTAGGCTAGTAAATCTCGTTTAAATATATGACTTGTGTCCCTGTTGGTTAGTTTAATGTTTCCTCTTAATTCTTACGTGAAAATAATTTGTATACATTGTATTTCCTTTGATATTTTTGAATATATGCGCGTATTAGTAATACAGGTAATATTTCCAAAATCGCCTTCGCTGTGCTTGTCACGTGTTCCTGTATTTGAAACCTTTAGTGTGCCATTTGATGTGCACATTTGGAGTAATGTTTAAAGAGAAAGAACTCCGGCCTTCAATACCTCATTGGTTCACAGGTCATTCAAGCTACATATGCAGGGGGACAAACTTATGTGCTTTCAATGTGGCGCTTTATTACCTGTAGATTTAATGCTATAATATTATAAGCCGATGTTATTTCAGCCCTGACAGAAGACGGCCGTGCTCTGTTTACAAGAACACCACAAACTACATACACAACAACGACACAATCCACTTTGGAAGCAGCATTCAAGGAACACCAAATCCTTTCACCGTACACATAAGTAAAGCCATACCGGTAGGATTGTTCACTCAGTCTTTATTTTTCACAGTGGGTATATGTCAGATTAGATGATAAATCTTATCCGTGCAGGTCAGGTTTATACTATTAATCTTCAGTAACCCATGCCTGTCGTAAGAGGCGACTAACAGAATCGGGTGGTCAGGCTCGCTGGCTTGGTTGACACATGTCATCGGTTCCCAATTGTGCAGATCGATGCTCATACTGTTGATCACTGGATTGTCTGGTCCAGACTCGATAATTACACACCGCTGCCATATAGCTGGAACATTGATGTGTGCGGCGTAACACTAAACTCACTCACTCACTCAGATGATAAATCTTCAAAACCTCTTACATGAAACCTTAACTGTCCTTACAAGTGTTGATCAGGAAACTAACTATGTCCTGAAGTAAGACTCAGTATACCATCGGGTCATTGCAGACTCGTCTCTTTCGTCTGCTCCAGCCTCTAATACTTTGAAGTTGACTTAAAAACACCCATATACAAAGTATATCGGTATGTGTGTCTTGTTATTATCGATTCAGCTACACTAAACTGAACAGATGGCGTACATTTTCTTTCATCCAGTCCCCGATAGAAATAAAGGTGGATGTGTATGACAATGATGACAACTCCAGTGATGACCACATGGACACACTCTCTAAGCTGATCAACATCCAAGCCGCTGCTACACAACAGGCATCTGTGTACACCCCATACACAGTGTGGGGAAGGACGAAGTGAGTCAGACTAAGACATATCTGCGATGATAACAGGGAGTTAAGTGATCAAGTGATCAATATGACCATAGTTCTACACAAATGAGATACGATGGCTTGTGTCAACCAAGTCAACGAGTCTGTCCACCCGATCCCGTTAGTCGCCTCTTTAGTGATTAAAATGTAGAGTGAACTATTTTCCAGGTTAAAGATTGAAGTCCGAGCCTTTTGTGACCCCGACTGGTACGGATCTACGTGTGAGAAATATTGCAAGGCCACTCCTGACCACAGTCACTACACCTGCCACCCACATACAGGGGCTAAAATGTGCTTTGAAGGTATGCTCAGAAAGCTGGTGTGAGCGTTGATGTGAACTGTTATTTGGACCTTAAAAAAGTTCCAAAAATACCTATTTATGAATATCGTCCCTTTCTTGGGACGGGTACTTCACAAAAGCAAGTTTTCTCCTAATGTTGAAGATAGAAACTTGCAGTATAGACGTGAATGAAGCTGAGTAAATTGTTTAGTGGTAGAACCATTCACATTACTTGTAGAGTTTAAGTTCTTTAAGCATGGTCACTTCCAGTTGCAAGGCAGGCCCCCCTGCCAATTCGGCGAAGTGTGAGGTAAGATGATTTTTACTGGTCCCTATTTTAACTATGCAAGTTCATTAGAATGTGTTTAAAATTTTCGTTGTTCAAATAGAAAAGTAAAATGAAAATGGTTTCCATTTTGTCCATACTCATGATAAAGTTTCCGCCAAAGTACCGTCCCAGATTTCGTATTGGTTTAGATTATGGTCCTTAGTATGGCGACGGAAATAACCTTTATCCATGATTTCCTCACGTGTTTGCAGTTGTCGTTAAACCATGGTTTTCATATGTGAAGAACAGCAGAGGACTTAGAGATACATTCATCAACTATGATGTTCATCAGAAAACATTTTATGGGATCAAGAATGTCCATGAAATGTTCAGGTTTCAATTTGTTAATACACATAGTTTCATATAAAAGTTAGTTTGGTTTTATTCCATGAAAGCTTTGAAATGAAAAGAGTCAATTTTAAGATTTGAGAGGTTGTTCTCCACCAACTAAGCCTATTAAATTACCTAATTTAAGTTCACTCATCTGCATATCGTCCCATTTGTGGGACGCAATTTTGCAGTGTAAAAGTATGGAAACAATTATTTACTGGTAAAATGACCTCATTTCTTTCATTGCTTGCCAAAAGAAACCAGCTCACAAAATTTGATGAAAATGTAAGACCCTAATGGGTTAATTGACCAAAGTTTGAGTTGTGAGAAATAGATGCCTAGAATGGATGAATTAAATCTTCCGCTTAACCTTGTATCCACCATTGTCATTTGAGATGTCGACCAGACAGATATACAAGTGCTCTGTCGAATTTTACTGTGCCATAAACTAAATTTCGTAATTATAACAAGGATTTGTGTCATGTGTTGTATAACGATAAACTGTTGGCAAACAACATAGGAACCCGGTTATCCAGACGTCCCTATTTAAAGTGTTAAAGTGATTGTTGAGTCACTTTTGAGGATGATACCCATTTGCATATTTAGACGTTCATCTGACAGTGATCATCCAGCGGGATATCGGAACTGTCGGTGTGGATTAAAAGGATTTCAGTGAAACATTTTGCTGTTTACTGCATTAATTGCAATTACTTTCAATAATAACATTGCAGGTGGGACGGGAGACAACTGCAATCAGGACATCGATGAATGCACAGAAAGTGACCACATTTGTCAAAATGGGGGAAGTTGTACAAATACATCCGGAATTTTCGAGTGCGCTTGTGTGGCGGGGATCAAAGGTAAGTAGACTGTATCTGTAGTCATTACACTGACATATTCACAAAAATAAAAGGACACATGCAATACATTGTGCACTAACATGGCTATGAATAAATCTTCCCCCTCCCTTGCATATCAGAGTATACATATTAAATTATAACAAAATGTTGCCAAAAATAAAACTGTATCCCGCCGTATATATTCAATTATTTTAAGCGCACCCTCATTTTGAAAAATATATTTACCCACATTTCTGCACTGAAATGCACGTATATGCACCCAAAAAATCGCACACCAATCATATTGTGTACCTGCTTGAAACATCAGTTTTAACTCCACCTCGGTAGAAGGGTTAAACGCCGTTACATTAAACAGTACACGAAGGCAAGGGATCTTTAACTTGTTTACAAGTCGTGTAAAAATATCTGTTCACTGATGCTTTTTATTTGCTACCTTATTCCTAAATTTTGTTTTAGGAAAACTATGTGAAAACATCATCAACCAGTGTGCACTGAAGCCATGTCTGAACGGAGGGACGTGTGACGGAAACGAATCGGACTTCAAGTGCGCATGCCCAGTTGAGTGGACTGGAGAGACATGCGCAGATAAAGTTAATTTCTGTGACAGCGCCCCCTGTAACAGAGGATATTGTACAGCGGACCTCTTGACGGCAACTCGGTTCAAGTGTGACTGTGATTTTGCGTGGGTAGGGGAGAGATGCAACCAAAGTGTTGGTGAGTGAATTAGGGTCTTCTATACACTCCCCTTAAATTCATTTATGTTTTTATCGTTCAAATGTATCATAGTGTCTTAATTTTAATATACGTAAGTATAGAGCTAAATTATGAAATCAGTAAGTGACAACAGAAGATCATTGAACAATCAACTAATTGTATTGAACGACAGACGATGACATTTACGTTAATACAATACAGATAAATTGGTGAAAAATACCGGGTAGCAACAAATGGAATATTAGGTCATAATTAAGAAGTTGCAGCAATCACGGAGTTGTTTTTTTAAAACAAACAAACTTGAACATCTTGAGTGAGAGGTTACAACATCCAAGGAAGGTTACTATCTGTCGATGTCACGAGCAAACTGATATTATACGAAAGCCTCAATCACTTTGCCAGTCAATGTCACCAGAAGTTAGGCGAACAATATGCAATAAATGAACTTCTGATATGCTCAAGACAACACAAAGGTGACGTGTTTGGTTTTCATTCTGGAGGAAACATAATGGGCTTTGTTTCCCTGTCAGGGTATATAGTCTGATGTATGTCGTGTGCTTTTTGTTTGACATATAATCGATTGATTATGAATGTGTGTGAGTGAGTTTAGTTTTACGCCGCTTTTAGCAATATTTCAGAACTATCACGAATTGAGCTTCACGCATTGTACCTATGTGGGGAATCGAACCCGTCATCGAGTGATCGCTTTAACCACTACACTACCCCAGCACCCCTTTTGATCATGAACTTGAACACATTGGACAATTTAGCCAGTAAACTCCTTGGAAATTATCATTTCATTCCTTTTTTTTGTTGTCTGTTTGTTATAAACGTATTCTTATGTTATTTGCATTGAGATATTATCAACATCACACTCCTGGGTGAGATTGATCATACAAATAGAGGTGACCTGGCTGATGGCTTCAGCAGACTCATCACAAAACTCGGGGGAATTGCAGGAAAGGCGGCTGTCAAATTTACAACGAACACACAGAACGAAAACAGGTAAGTGGCAAGCAGAATGATGTTGAACAGTACAAGAATATATGGCTTTTATTACAATGACTTAAAGGCAAGAATTTGATGGATGTCAACTTCTTTATTGTGAAGGGTCACGACGTTTCGAAGTATATTTTTATTCCTTCATCAGGTGAATGAAACAATTAGGAACAGACAGCTGTATATGTACATGTTAAAACAACAACAGTTATGAGATAACAAGGGAAACCAGTAGTTAATTGGTAGATGGACAAATGGAAGCTATGGATTGTTAATCCAGGCATGATTAAGGTAACAAAAGTGGCAGTTTAGCAATTTACAATGATTTAGATATTTATATATCCCGTGGTGCAGTTAAGGTCAAAATAATTACCAAGTTTGTGTTTCGTGTACCTTTCAGTTATACTACTACGCACGTACAACTCTACTCTGCTGTGGAAAACGGATCCTTTCTAGACAGTGATTCATTAGCTAGAATCTTCGAATCTAACCCTGATGAAATCATCAATGAATATCTGCCTCTTCCATTGTACCCTCCCCGTGAAGAAGACAAGACAACATTGAAGGTAGCGGTAGCCGATGTCTTATTACTGTTTGTGTGACCATGTAATACCATTATTGGCTATAGTACTCAGTGGGCGAAATGACCACTGGCCCGCTAGTCTAAATCCAGTCGGGCCAGTAAATCTCCACAGTCACTGGCCCGACTGGCGAGTGCATTTTCATGGGGTCATTAAATAGATATATTACACTATCCAACTTGTTAAGTTATAATACACTTTTAAATCATGCAAGAATATGACCTGATAAAAATGTTAATCATATTGGCAGCTTAATGATGAGACCCGTGTAATTGCCGACAATATCTTATTCTCAAGACATGTACCTTTTTGTAATCTTTTGCTTAGTTTCTACATTCAAATTTCAGGCTAGTGAATTATTTTGTGGGCTAGTAACTTTCAGGCATAGCTAGCCCGACTGGCTAGCAAAATATGGAAACAATTTCGCACACTGATAGGTCCTAACATAATATTTGTTGCCTTTGCATGTTTATTGGATGTTTATGTTTGGCGGTCTCTTGCGGTCGGGCCAGCGATTGCTTGAAACTATTTTCTTACCCGTTACGCATGTTTATTGGATTGTTTTTGTCATTTGTCAGCACACCTATCAGCCATATTGCAGCCATATGACGACAGTCTCAAGCTGTCGAGTCAGTGGTGAACGTTGTCACGTTTGCCAAGAAGTAAAGATTCCTTGGAGCTAATGCTTCTTAAATTAACCTTCAAAAGCACGATCAATCTTATTCTCGCGCATTTATGCTAAAACGTTGATTGACAAAAGGAATTCAAATCACTTCAATAATCAATATGGCTGTGTTTCAGAGTCCACATGACAGCTGGGACACAAACCAATATGTGTCGACAGCCATTCTACCTCCTGTAGGACTTGTCCTGATGTCTGTACTGCTTCTGGTGGCCTTCTGCATCTGGAGAAGAAGATCGTAAGTGGTACATGGCATACTCATTGATTAAAACACTACCTTGTATTGGGAATCAAGGACGACAGCCACTCTGCCAACGTACATGTATTGTGGCACTCGGACTAAATACTTTTTCTCAAGGCATATATCATGGCCCGACTACATTAACTGGAATTGTTTTTAAAAATATCCCACTGTTCGAGGTGAGGAGGTGAGGTGAGGTGAGGTGAAATTGGGTTTAACGTCGTGCTTGAGAATATTTCGCTCATATGACGACGTGCATGCGGGTGTATGTGTATGTGCGGCTGCTTGTACTAGCCCAGACTGAAGCTGGTTTTATAGTGCTAGCCCACTGAGATACCATGCCACAGTGAAACATGAATACCCCACTCAGACACATTATACTGACTCCGAGAAGACCAGTCCTTGTTGTAACCAGTAATGCCGAGCGCCAGGCAGGGACCAACAAGTACCATATTTTAACGTCTTTTGGTATGACGCGGTCGGGGATCGAACCCGCGACCTTCCGCTCTCCGGGCGGACGCTCTAACCACTACACCACGGAGGCGGTCCCACTGTTCGAGGAATAATTACAAAAATATAATTTAACATCATGTTTTTGCATCCATATCTGTAGATGCTGTATTTTCTGAATACACTTGTACATTGCTCAGTTACTTTTAGAAATAGTGGTAATGTTTCAAAGCATCGAATAAAACAAACATGGCAAATCGAACTTAAGATATCTAAATGATCAGTTACAATATATTAGGAGTGTGTTGGGATATTTAGCATTTACGTCACCAATCATTATAGTTCTTATTTCCAGGAACAAGACGGAACAATGTAGAGAGCTCAGCTCATTTGTGATGGGCGTGGCATACAATAGAAACGCCCAACCAACAGGTGCAATGACAGGAAATCTCCAGGAGGCAAGCGTATCTCTAGACGGTTACACAAGTCTTCGCTTCCTCGAGGTAGATGAAGGATCACACGACACAAGCTGTGATGACACATTGAACATCAACCCAGCAACTAAAGATATGACCCTTGACCCCGAGAGTCTGCAGGGTTTCAGCGGTTATTCAGAAGACAACGGACGTCTTGGTGACGTAGCAGCATTTGACACACACTGTGATGACATTTCAATCATTCACCGTGCAACTGAAGATATGACCCTTGATGAAGTGATTGCATATTGTTTCGGCGTTTCTGCAGATGACAACGCACGTCTTGGGGATACAGCAGCATTTGACACAAACTGTGACGACACAACAAAGCTCCACCTATCAACTGAAGATATGACCCATGACCAGGTGATTCTACATGGTTTCGGCGTTTCTCCAGATGTCAAGACAAGTCTTCTAGACGTGGCAAAACTCCAAATAGTAACTGAAGTTCTGACCCTTGACTCGGTAATGCTACAGCATCCAACAGGTTCTCCGAATGCCAATGCACTCCAACAAGTCACTGAAGATCTGACTCTTGACCCAGTAAGTGTACAGGATGAAAGAGGTTCTCCACATGGCAATGAACGTCATTGTGAGGAAGCAACACTCCATGGCGTACATGTGAGAACACTCGACACACTCTGTGATGAGACATCAAACGACCTCCCAACAACTGAAGATGGGACCCTTGACTCAGTGCGTCTACAGAAACCAATCGGATATCTAGATGACCAAACATGTCTTGGTGACGTCGGCACACTCGCTCCTTGCCGTCATGTTACGTCATACCCAGTCCCTGGAGATATGACCCTTGACCCGGTGAGCCTAGAGGAAAAGGAAGAGGATGCAGAGTACACTGTCATCGATGACAATGATGTGGAGGACCTCTTAAAGGACGACCCTTATGAAACGATAGAGTCTGTCGATGACAATGATGATGATAACATCTCACAGGAAGACCCTTATGATAGAGATAAATTTGTAGTTGCCTTTGACGAGATATTAGCCAACCAATAAGTATAATGAAAGGAAAATGTCATAATTATTTGCTATAGATAATGTAAGATGTTAATGAATCTCTTCTATAAGGACCGATTTGGTACCGGTCTACCAACAGCAAACTATCATTGCAGCCATCAGGGGTGTCAGGATAAGTTCATAATTTAATGGCTAAAGTTTCTCTTGCGCGCAGGGTGAATGGGTTCAAATTCCAAGATGAACACGTTATGTACATTATATGTAGGATTTTGTGCATGTGATCCTATGGTGGTTGGATGCCAAAGAGTAAATTCCAGGATCATATGTTGTGTAACCTGGAGGAATTGCATAGCTTGTGGTGAATCTTTGTTGAATTCCCACATGGGCACAATGAATGTCAAATGATATTTTCTTTTATTTACTAATACAGATGGACATGAAGACCAGTTTATAAATATGCATGATTACATTATGTACATATTATATTAGCTTATGTAGGTTTGACTTTGATATTGTAGATTAGCAGCCATGCCAGTTTTGCAAATAAAATAATCTTAAAGCTTTAAATACTCACTGTCATTCACGAGAATGGTTTCACTCCACTTATCGACTGTTCTAGACAGGTTTTTGGTATATAACTGGCACATGGGTGTGATGGTAACATATCTGTTCGGGAGTACATCTAGACGATCACGCCTAATGTGTTCAAATGATTGATGTGACGAGATGATGGCGCGTAAGGTCTTTAAAGAGGTCGGGGTCCAATTCGAAATTTTATTTTGCAGCCAACGTCATTAATACAACCCCTTTTGGGAAGAAATGCACGAGGTCTTCGAGGCATGCTACACATGAGTCAGCCGGTGCCTGTACCGACTAGCAATGAGAGCAGGCCCAAATTCACTGAGAGTGATGGGTGTTTTTAATTTTTACGTACACGTCTGCTAATGACATCATGACTGAGTGCTTGACATGGCATGAGCGAGTGAGTGAGTTTAGTTTTACGCCGCTTTTAGCAATATTCCACCAATATCACGGCGGTGGACACCAGAAAAGGGCTCCACACATTGTGTCCATGTGGGGAATCGAACCCTGGTCTTCGGTGTGATGAATGAACAGTTTAACCACGAGGCTACCCCATCGCCCCCATGGCATGAAATGGATGGTTTGCTTTCGGAAGATTCGGCCACAATCACGACACGCTGGTCACGTGTCTTCTTATGTTGATAAAACATTGCCGGTATATAAACCCATACCAGAATGAACCCACCCCAACACAATGATGCTGTACGACGTTGACGTCCAGAAAACGTTCAGTAAGACGCAATTAGACTCGATTCATTCGGTCAAGGAACCTCGATTTCTCAGAAGAAACAGTGTTCAGTCTTTGACAGTACTGACATTCACAACACCACACACGCCTCTGATTCAAAAGACTTGCTGTAAAGTTGTGGTATGACACGTGGGCTGCACGCTGATGCCATCCTTGCAGGCGAGCTTGCACAGTGAGGTACTTTTGAACCGATTCCCTCAATCCATCATTCAGACTAATCCGTGTGGACCTAGAGTTATTGCCCTTGGACGTCCAGAACGTAGTTGATCTTCAACGTTATGTGTTTGTGGTATCACGTCAACACTCTGCTGATGACAGATTGAGACATTTGCAGCGTTTGGGCAACAATATTCTGACGTCTGCCCACAGTCAATATGTCAGTGGCACGTAAACGTCCATCACGTTGCTAACGTCGCTTGATCAACACTGTTACCTCCTCAGTGCTTAAATTAAATGTATGTAATAAGATGTCCTTGATCATTAGGCTCCAAGAAAACAATATGCTCACAACCCACTCTATTTGGCAGAATACCCCATGGCATTCTGAGGTAACATGTTTTGTGACTGTATCAATGGTGTTCTCGGGAGATTGATGCATTAGGAAAAGTCCTTCCCTGAAAAATCTCTTACTTTTATTTCTTGTTGAATGTTTTTTCGCATAGCATGTCTTAGTCATGAGGGCACACACTAACATATTCAACTTCTAATGGTAAATCTGACAGCACCCCTTGAAGATGCTATCCGACGTCTCATGCTGTAATCATTGGCATAGTGTTTGCAAGGTTAATTTGTTTGGAAATGTTCTTGCCACATACATAATTTATTTTCACTGGACATTGGTGTAGTTTCACATCAAAACTAAACGTCCAATACGTTTTTGTTGAGCATTTAAAGGCATATGTTAATATCTTTTACTTCCGTATCCATGACCCAAGAGACGTGGTTGATGATTATTCACAAAATGATGTCGCGTTTTCATTATATTTCCGTAGCACTGCAAATTAGAAACTAGAAACGAAACCTGAAACTCGCTTTGTGCATCGAGCGTTAATACGACGGTTACGGCCATTAGATAAACCAGACCGTTAAATAAGGCGTTTGCCATCCGATATGCATCAGCCACCTAGGACACAAGTGTAAGCGATACCAATTAGAAGATGAAGACAAGGGAAAGACGTTTGTGTGTGACCGTACTTCTCTGGCTGTTGACAATCAAGGTAGGCATGTAATACATCTCCCAAAATGGCCCAATGACCAGCTAACTCCATGGACTAGTCAGAGGATCCAAATCAGATATATCATGGTGTGAATATATTCGTCTTGTGAAACATTTACTGATAGGCTAAGCCTTCACAATAATCTGTTCAGCTGTAGTTTTTAGTGCAATACTTTCAAGTTCAAGTTTATACTTAAACAATATAGTAATTTGTGTCAAGTTTTGTAAACATAAATGAAACGTATACAATATTAATACATGGAGCTTCCTCTATTACACTTATTCAAATATAAGTTTCTTATATCAATATCGCGCTAGTTCAGTCATGTTCCAAAACGTGGTGTGAACTGATACTCTGATAATCACATTGGTATTACCATATTGCATAAGTGCCAGTTCACTGTTAATGAATGATGACTCAAAGTGTCATGAAATATTGTTATACAATACGTTTAGATACACATGGTCGAAAGTATGAGTAGTCAATGTCATTCTCCCAGAGTATATCGCCATGACAGTCTTAAAGAATGATGATGGTTGTTAGATTCATTCCGCTGTGAGTTGTCTTTTCTAACCTTAGTTGTCAGCGTAATGTATCATAGAGGCCACAGAAACCTTTCCACTTCCCTAAGAAATGTCTGATAGAGTTTGTACAGAGTAGTTTGTCAGAGTAGTTTGTACAATTCTGACTACATCATGGGGGCGTGGTGGGCGAGCTGTGTAGGGCGCCAGACTAGTGATCCAGCGAGTTTGAGGTGCCGGGATCAAACCTACTTGTGACCGGGCGTCAAAACCTTGGAGTAAACTTTGTGTACAGACTTTTTCAGTGTTGTCACAACCCCTAGTGTACAGTACACAACCCTGTGCACTTAAAAGAACCCACGAATCCGTTTGGTAAATGACCAGATGGTGGTCACACGAATACGCCAAAACACCTAGTTGCGGGTACAGCAACGTGCAGTAACGCCTGAACGAAGAACCGTGGCTATATGTCCCAGTCCACCCAGCTGAGGTGAATTGGTACCTGAAAAGGATGAGAAAGCCACATTAACTCGGTTGAGATTGATAATACGATGTGCCGTTTGAGATTGATATCCAATGATCGAGGATAAATCATAGCACCTTTGAGCAGCTGATATTGGCGCCATACAAATGTTAGTATAATTATAATAATAATAATAATAATAATAATAATGGGTTTCATGACACATTCATTCAGCAGTATTACAGATGTACGACGCGGTTTGCAAACAATCGAGTCTGGACCAGAAACTGGAGTGTTAGACACTATGACATATGATGACTGAGCATGTGTTTATGAATCAAATAGTGACGATACCACGTGTTTAGTGAGGAATGCCTGAAGTGATGCAGATAATTTATTTTATCTTCAACTGTCTATAAACGAAATCCCGGGTTTCTTCTACAAGGTTACCAAATACACCTTCCACAAATGTATTAAAAGCAGAAGACCTATGAAATCTACGTTAGTAGACCGGCCCGAGACCGCTAACTTGCGCCAGGGACGAGTAGTGAACGTAGTCCTCAATGGACAGTAACATTTCAGGACTATAACTGTGAAACTGTGCCATCATTTGGAAAATGGTTAAAACTGTCAGGAAATGGAAACCTGATTGTGATGTTATGTGATCATTATGAGGTGACAATCTCTCTAAAGTGTTCCTTAGAAACATTTCCTTCACACAATTACGTCCGAGAACATATCTTTGTAACAAAAGGCATCCAGCGTATTTCCGGCTGTAAACTTTCCATCCATGTCCACACAATTACCGCTTCATTAGAATAACAGTGAAGTAGGTTTTCTACTAGTCCTTTGAAGAAAGTGAGTTTCTGATGTCATGGAATACTGGGGACGAGGTGATTATATAATGATGAGCCAAATTATTAGTGTGTGATCATATCTAGCATGTTTATCACTGGTATCTGTGGTCCAGACTCAATTATTCACAGGTTATTGCTCTGTGGCTGGACCATTGGTGGGTGTAGCGTGAAACAGATCTCAATAACTGTTTGTCCGAATCTATCTTCATGATTTACAGCATGTGAAGACTGACGGTAAACTGGACATTCGATTCATCAGTTACTGGTCAGATGGCAGGGAAAGCAGTGGATACTGTTGTGACAATTCGTGACAGTGAGGATTGGACATGGTGCACTGATAAGTGTGATCCAATGTTTACCCTGTGCATTGATGGGTAGGTACAATTAAAACATTTATTGAGAAAACACACGAGCCCAGTATATGAGTTCCTGACAGTTTTGCATTTGTAGGCTGGTAAATCTCGTTTAAATATACGACTTGTGTCCCTGTTGGTTATTTTAATGTTTCCTCTTAATTCTTACGTGTAAATAATTTGTATACATTGTATTTCCTTTGATATTTTGGAATATATGCGCGAATTAGTAATACAGGTAATATTTCCAAAATCGCCTTCGCTGTGCTTGTCACGTGTTCCTGTATTTGAAACCTTTAGTGTGCCATTGGATGTGCACATTTGGAGTAATTTTCCAAGAGAAAGAACTCCGGCCTTCAATATCTCATTGGTTCACAGGTCATTCAAGCTACATATGCAGGGGGACAAACTTGTGTGCTTTCAATGTGGCGGTTTATTACCTGTAGATTTAATGCTATAATATTATAAGCCGATGTTATTTCAGCCCTGACAGAAGACGGCCGTGCTCTGTTTACAAGACCACCACAAACTACATAGACAACCACGACATAATCTATTTTGGAGGCAGCATTCAAGGAACACCAAATCCTTTCACCGTACATATAAGTAAAGCCATACCGGTAGGATTGTTCACTCAATCTTTATTTCACACAGTGGGTATATGTCAGATTAGATGATAAATCTTATCCGTGCAGGTCCGGTTTAGACTATTAATCTTCAGTAACCCATGCCTGTCGTAAGAGGCGACTAACAGAATCGGGTGGTCAGGCTCGCTGGCTTGGTTGACACATGTCATCGGTTCCCAATTGCGCAGATCGATGCTCATACTGTTGATCACTGGATTGTCTGGTCCAGACTCGATTATTTACACACCGCTGCCATATAGCTGGAACATTGATGAGTGCGGCGTAACATTAAACTCACTCACTCACTCAGATGATAAATCTTCAAAACCTCTTACATGAAACCTTAACTGTCCTTACAAGTGTTGATCAGGAAACTAACAATCTGATTTTTATGTCCTGAAGTAAGGCTCAGTATACCATCGGGTCATTGCAGCCTCGTTTCTTTCGTCTGCTCCAGCCTCTAATATTTTGAAGTTGACTTAAAAACACCCATGGGATAGATGGTGTACGTCATGACCAAGCAGTGCCGAAAACAGTGAAATGAGTTTGTCTGACAATTTCGTCAATATTTTGGTGGCAAGATCAGCCTCATAAGTGTCAGTCTTTCTTTATAGTCCAGAAATGGCCTCTGTATGTTCAATCAAATCCTGGCTGAGTGATGACCATTGTGCAGTTATGATTTTTGTTATGTCATTGTCACTGTATATCTTGCCTGCAAGACCTTGCAACACAGTTTCTAATGCATCCAAATGATGCTGGTTGGTAGGAATTTTGCCAATTAACTCGCGTTCCGTATATTCTGCACAGGAAGTACATAAGAAGGTTGATTTTGGCTTAAAAAATCCATTGTCTGACAACGTATCAATTACAACTTTGCGGAATTTTCTGGATTTAATCTGGTAAATGTGGTAATTGTCATCACTAACAAAATCATGGTGTTTCGAACAACTACATCTCTTCGTTGGGGGCATTTTGTTACCTGCAATATGACAAATGACACAATATGAATTCATATGTTTGGGGGGAGGGTGATTTCGGACTGTACAATGTGAGTACAACTACATCCCCCACCCAACCTTCTATGTCTCTGTCCATAGTCCCTGACACCCATGGTGGGGGATAGGGGGGTTTATGATAGTTGAATGTGACCCCCTCTATTCTAGTTGAGTGTGTCTACATATTCCCTTACACCCATGGCCTGGGGGCTCTGATAGTAACATGTGATTACCAGCCCCCATCCTCCCCCCCATATTTATGTAATTGTACATAGTACGTGTCACCCACTACCAACACCACACTACCCTCAACCACCACCAATTTCTTCTTAAAACCATACATATTTTTAGCCACTTGCATTGGTAACCTCTTTAGTGCAATGTACACTGACTTGTTGACTAACATGTCTCGATTCATTAAACAGTTTTTTATTTATTCTCTTTGTTTTGTTTTTACTATATGTATTATGAGTTCAGTTCATGTGCGACATCAGTTTTGTCTGAACTGCGACTCCATAGTTTTTTCCAAACATTTCCATTGTGATAATTGAATGTCACTGTCCGACTCCATACTATCGACTCGCTTCCTGTATCGCAGCCACCGAACATGTGTTCTGATCAAACGTTAATCGCATGACTGTTTTCGCGTCAGGCACGCTCAACCAAGGCCTCACTCAGACTTGCACGTGCAAGCGCGGTCTTAGAACGGGCTTATACATTTCGAAATTCATATGAAAGTAGTCCCTAACATATAACAAAGATTTAAACCAGTTTAAATCATTAAAATTCATAATATATTTGCTGACTATGCTCTAAGTAAGTTAGATCATTCGCGCCCTGTTGTCTAATTGTTGAAACGGTTAGGTAGAGCATTCGGCGTTCGGCCTCATGCTCTAACTAACCGTTTCAACGATTAGACAACGGGCGCTCATGATCTAACCATTACTTAGGGTGTGTATTTGAAAAGCGACAATCCTTTCACGCAAATAAAACGAATATATTTACGTTTACTATTATTTCTCGTGAATATTGACATCAAATACGTAAAAAAACAGAAAGTAAGAATTTTGAAAAAAGAGGTTTCCAAAAAATAAGAACAATTTAAATTTTCAAAGGTCTTTCAAGCGCCTTCACAAACGATTTTTCAAAAACGATACAAAATGTGTTATGGGCGTCTTCCGATGAAGGACAGCGCGGCCGTCTAAAAATAGCAACCAATGGAAAATGACATAACATTGTCAATGTTGGTTTTCGTAGGCCTTCAAAGCCATCGTCTCTCTGGCCTGTACCGGCCAGCTTATCTGGCCTGTGGCAGAGGTACTATGCTGGTCGCATGGAACTCTGGGTAGGAGAGTGCCTCAGAGGCAGACATCTACGTGATGTCATATGATTGTGACGACATGGTAATGATGACGTTGCGAAACTCTGAAACCTTTTAAACGGCCTTCACACGGCAATCTAAAATTTGACAACACATGTTAAAATTTTAAAAGTTGTCAAACTCGCGTTTTCACACGTCAAACACATGTGAGCGCCATGTCTGTATCTATCTTCTATGGTGACGTAGGGTGTGTTTCAGGCAAAACTAATCGCTCAACACCCCGAAGCGCCTGCGCCAGTGGATAAGCGCTATTTGATGTTTGTGTTTTCACATTAGATTCTGAAAACGAAACATGTTGTTCGAGAGGTGGCGTAGGAGTGTAACGCCTGCCACAACGGAAGTGGTCGCTGTTGGGCTTTCCTTTCCATTAAATAATGTGACGAGCCAGTATTCACAATTCACAAAACCTGGACACTAAATCAAGTTACGCAAGTTAACATAGTGTATTATATCTATGAAGGTGACTAGCATTATGGCTGAATATTGCATCATATTGCGATATATTGCACTTATTTAAGAATTATTGCAATACATATTGTGATATACTGACTGGAAGGTTTCTGCACAATTGCGTACATCATAACTTTATAATAGCTATCTGTGTGCAACATCATTTTCTTAGTTGCTGTGGGCGGTGGGGTAGCCTAATGGTCAAAGCGTTCGCTCGTCACGCCGAAGACCCGGGTTCGATTCCCCACATGGGTACAATGTGTGAAGCCCATTTCTGGTGTCCCCCGCCGTGATATTGCTGGAATATTGCTAAAGCGGCGTAAAACTAAACTCACTCACTCACTCACTCTTAGTTGCTGTTACACCATACTTTCAGGCTTCCCGTCCCCATTGTGTATGGCTGTATGCCAATGGTTTACAGATAAATAAAATGATATGGAGCCTCAATGTGGAATGTTTAACTGAAGTATTGCACAAAGGGTTTGTGAACATAGTGATAAAGGTAATAGTATAAGATTAATTTTCATGGTCAGTGTTGTTTGCTTCAACAGAATGCACATTGTTCTGTTATCTTGTAGGGATATCTTCTATGGTGACGTAGGGTGTGTTTCAAGTCAAAACAATCGCAAGACCCCGAAGCGCCGGCGCCTCTATCCAAAATGGCGGTGCGATTACCTCTCGGTTGCCAGACCATAACAGAAAAGTCTGAATGGCGAATAACTATATTGATGACTGTGATACGGACTGTGAATGTTGGAATTGTTCCTACCTTTGCCAATTTTCCAAGCTGACCCAGTCAAGAATTTCTTGTTCCGCTGTCGAACTCAAACTTCCGCCAATCGCCATTTTGGTTTGATAACGAGGTGACTTCAGCCTTTGAGTCGTGCGATTGATAGAGGCTGAAAGTTAGCGCTCCGTTTTAAAGCGAATCGTTATAAATATTTTGGATGGCTGATTGGCTGATTGCCACGCACTCATAATCTCAACCAAGTGAGTGAGTGAGTGAGCGAGTTGGGTTTTACGCCGCTTTTAAGGAATATTCCTGTAATTATATCATGGTGGGGTGGGGGTGGGGGGGATATCAGAAATGGGCTTCACACATTGTACCCATTTGGGGGATTGAACCCAGGTCTTCAGCGTCATGAGCGGACACTTTAACCATTGGGCTACCACACCGCCCCCTCAACCGAAAGAGATTCCAGTGAAAACAATTACAGACTCCACTGTAAACGAACAATAACAGTGCAACTGGTTATAAATGTCCAAAATGTATATTTATTTCGACTCTGGACGGACAATGTTACATAAACACTAATGATTACAATTTCAATGTGGTTAGGGTTTCGTGAAAGAAGCATTATGAATTAGCCGATGTAATGTGGTTCATAACATTTACATAAACACAACACATATAACAGACAAAACTAATGCTGTCGACATAGAGTATATCGTAGTTCCGCTGTTTACCGTCGCCCCGGTGAAAAGATGTACTACTCGACTAACGCGTGATCCGTTGGCGCCTCTGAAAAAAGAGAGTGAGTGAGCGAGCGAGTGAAGGAGGGAATATTGTTTTATGCCACGTCAATTATATCTCGGCAGACTGCACAGACCTATTCTTGACTATTCAAAAGGGTGGTTGGCAACGACTATTTGCTGTTTGTGTTTTCCACATTAAATTCTAAAAACGAAATATATCATGCGAGGGTTGGCGAAGGAGTGTAACACCTGACATAACGGAAATGCTCATTGCTGGGGTAATCTGTCGATGTAGATATTTGCCGAACTAGTATCATTCATAATACACTTGTTTTGACGACAAACACCAGGACAGTAGATCAAGTTACACAAGACGCATAAAGAAATAATGAAAGCTTTGAACCTATTGCTTAATAAAATCCAGAACATGCCCGATGTGTTTGCAATGTTATTGTGAAATATGAAAGTTTGATGATTTTTAAGTTATGCACCTGATGCAGTACAATATCTATGGAGTAATTCTCGATGGAAAGGAATTTTCCGACAACGGTTTTCGAGCTCAGTAAACACAAAATGTCATCCTTGGATCATTAACCACTTCCAAAAAAGGTAGGAAGTGAAACCGATCACAATGTGCCTGCAGCAAGTTGTATATTGTTAATATAATGTTCAATCGTAAATAGAAATGAAATTGGCGTAAATCAACTTTCGAGGTCTCAAGTCGAAAGCGAAATATTTCAAATCAGAGCACGCTGTTCCCAGTAATGGCTACCGCCTTACGGCTAATGAGACAAATTCGAAATCACAGGGTCAAGACTTACAAAGTTTATACTAATGTTTTATTATAATTACTTTGCTAAATAATATACATCATCGAATAGCGCATATGCATTGTACAGAAGAGGTGGTATAAAGGATCATTTTTACGCTAAGAAGCCTGCGTTCGATTCCCCAATGTGTGAACCCGTTTTGGGAGTATTTCTGAAACGGCATAAAAACTGGTTGTCTAACTCGCGTATTTTGCGTGACGACATCGAGGTAAAAGGGTGGACTTATTGTAAGAACTTAGATCAAAGTAGCTTAGATGTTGACGTATTCATACTAAAGCTCTTTTCACGTCATATTAAGATGAACAATGTGTACACTTGCGAAAATGTCATTTTACTTAATACTCATAATGCACTTAAACTTGTCTGTTTTATCACGGAAGTGCAATTCGTTCCGTTAAAACGTGATGAGGTGAGCGAACCATTGGATATTCATCATTTTAAGTTGTGATATAATGTATAATGCATTTATGTTTATAATACCCAATCCTGTTGAAAGACCACTGTTGAGACTTCCCTAATGTCAGGACATTTACTATTCATGCCCCGACATTGAGCTTTTCCAAACAGATAATTCTCACTATCATATAAATTATATCTGTAGGTCACGTACAAAAGTATCCTACCGACCACCGAGCATGACTTGGGGATAGACGAAAGTATGACATCTTGGCAAAACGGACGAGTGAAAAGGGAGAAAGTAATATTACCACTAGACTACCCCACCGCCCCGAAACATGAATGAAAGGAGAGAGCACTCAGTGTCATTTACAAGACAGAGAGACAGACAGACAGACAGACAGACTTGGGTTCAGCCTCTCATGGATGGCTTGTCTGAGATAAATGTATGGAAATGTGGACTGTGTCATGGCTTTATCAGGGCTCCAGATAATTTTTCATGATCAGAAAACAATAAGAGTACATTTAGGGTACTGAATGGAATTTAATGGAGTATCAGTAATCTTGTGTTTCGTTTCATATATGCACCACAACATTGCTACTCTTTTGTAAACAGGTCAATAAACAATAAAACAATACGTTTTCAGATAAATACATCTGTAAATGATTCTAAGACCGTACAGCATTGCTGTGGTGCGTATCTGCTACGTTTTCTAAATTATTTCCTACCGTATCGTGCTTATTTTATATCCGTACATACGCCGATACGGCCCTTATCTGGAGCCCTGCTTTATCATAAGATAAAGCTGACACACAAACAGACGGACGGATGACCAGGCAATTGATTATGGTTACCTTGTCCTTAGCAATATCCGTGTACTCTTGGCTAGTCTCAGCAGGACTGGTTCTGTAGCCTGACACCATGACTGCCCCTCGTCCAAACTGTACTCCACCGTCAGACCTGGGTACGCCACGTTCGTCCGCAGTAGGTCGCCTTCAACTCTGTAACGTAATCAGGAAATTTATTGCGCGACCGAAAACATAACTTCACTATATAGACTGGACCAAGTATACTACCACGCTTGGCTACACAACTGTTGACAGATACATGTACACACGTGCTATTCATGCAACGCAGCCCAAGTGTTTTTGTAGCCTATTGCATGTCATATGTTTCTGACAGAGTGTATCGAGGATGATTAGCCAGGACATGCCCATTGTAACAGTGCTATCGCCATTGCCGCGATGTTGTTTGGACTTATTTATCTCGCAAAGTGTCGTGATCTACATACGGGCCCTATTCATCAGCAATCATTGAAGAAGGGAGACAACTCATTTGTAAAGCGCGTGTATGATATCTATATTCACGCATCCAACCTTCGGATTGATATATTATTCTGGCCAATACCAGCATGCAATACACGAAACTTAAATCATTTGTGTTGTAATTATTATATTAGCCAGTATTTATTACTACTGTGACTTAAGTAAGTAAGAACAAATTACGTGGAAGAGTACGGGCGGTTTAGGTTGCAGTAATTAAGACATCTGGGACCCTATCCACAAACCGTTCGTAGCATTACATAATTCGTAAGCCAATGGCGTACTGTAGTGTTACGATAGGTCGTAAAGTTTCGAACGCTTTGTGGATCGGGACCCAGGTACTGACACAAGAATGACGTAGGTTCTAACTTCTTCCTACCTCGGTGGCACTCGGATATGATGCTCAAAATTAAGAATCCTACACAAATCGCATCTGGGGTTCGTACCAACTAATCTTGGCACGTCTGAGGGACGCAGCTACGCACAACCTATTGAATGTAGACTGTTCTCGACTAAATGGTTGTTCCGTTGTTGTTCCATGACAAAGAGAACCAATCAACCCATGTGTAAATCGATCAGGTAGTTAGGCCCGTCGACAAAGTTTACTCATGCCATAGTACTCCAAATGCGTGGATCTATGAGCAGTCACTGGATTGTCTGGTTTAGATATGTTTATTCGAGTGGCGGCGGGGTAGCCGAGTGGTTAGCCGCAAAGGGTTCGTAGAACTACGTCAATCGTTAGCCAATATTATACTAATCACACTTTGCTAAGGATCACAAAAATTCACAACTTGACTTAAACGTAGATTTATAATTTGAAATTGTAACCATTTAAAACTGGATAAATAATAATATGGTAACCCCTCTTTAGGCAAACAGTCACTTTAATCTAACCTTATACACTTGATACATGAGTAACCATAAAAATGGTTTCCGTGGCACCAATCAACCATTTTGCAAATCATGGAACGAGTCATTGACAAGTACACAACACCTGTCAATAGCAGGTATGGGTTCCACAAGATGAAATGGCATACTGAAACCTGGGATCCATGCTTACACTAAGCTTAGATATTTAAACCAAATTTGACCCCACATCATAGTTTTCTGTTGAATCCATGGTTTGATCCTCAGCAAAGTGTGAATAGTATATATTTAATAGTTACGACATGTCGTAACATTACAAACGATTCGTGGATCGGCACCCAGGGTGTAATTTCTCATATGGGTACAATGTGTAAAGCGTATTTTTGATTCCGGTGTCACCAATGATATTGTTGGAATAATGCTGCTTGCGGTGTAAAACCACGCCTATCACTCACTCTATTATTATATTTTCTCATGTCTGTAATATTTCTTAATTGGCGTCTATTAACTACGAAAAAACAAATAATTAGGCAAGAGAATTTGCCTCTGTTCACCCAGCAGAAAATGGGTACCCGGTGGGATAAGTCATGTGACTATTAACCATCTAGCACCTCACAGGCTGTTTGAGTTATTCGGGGGAATAACAATCAAATTGTGCGCTCTGAGCAGGATATGAAGCCAGGAGAGGACCGTTATAAATATTCTTAATCATAATTATTATAAATCAGCAAACATAAATCCAAACGACCACGTACATTGCTCCCGGGGGAGGTACCCGGTACTTGATGCCGATATTCTCGAGTCTCTTGAGCTCACTGTACCCCAGGGTGTTGGCGAACCTCTCCCAGTCCCTGTCCTCCATGGCTTGTCTTGTCGTGTTGACCTCCTCCTCCTCCCACGCCGCCTCGTGCCACGCCCTCTCAGCCAGGGCCAGCAGGCGCGGAAACATCATGTAGTCGGCGATGTCGCGGTTCCTTACGAGCTCGCTCCACAGATGGCCCTGCATTCCTGCAATACGACATCGACAGCTTGGAATGACATCTGTTCTTATTATCAGATTTAACATATACCGGTCAAAAGGAGTTAAATAACACCTCCTTTTTTTCATATTACATATGGGGCGGTGGGGTAGCCTAGTGGTTAAAGATTTCGCTCGTCACGCCGAGGACCCGAGTTCGAATCCCCACATGGGTACAATGAGTGAAGCCCATTTCTGGTGTCCCCCGCAGTGATGATGCTGGAATATTGCTAAAAGCGGCGTAAAACCAAACTCAGTCAGTCAGTCATATTACATACGTACTTACCTATTATATAATGCATAGCATGGGAGCACTAATGTGTAAGAATTGGGTGTTCTTTAACTTTATTTGTGTAGTATACATCGTAATACAGCAACACCAGGCACCATATGATAAATGATTTGTACACTTTGTCGGAGAAAACCGACCAGGACGCTTATGGTAATGATAGACAAAGTTTCATACAGACGAATTTAGGGTAGGGATCTTGGCTTGGTTGGTTGGTTGGTTGTTAACGCCGCACTCAGCAATATTCCAGCTGTATGGCAGGGGTCTGTTAAAAATCGAGTGTGGACCAGATAATCCAGTGATCAACAGCATGAGCATCGATCTACGCAATTTGGAACCGACGACATGTGTCAACCAAGTCAGCGAGCCTGAACACCCGATCCTGTTAGCAGCCTCTTACGACAAGCATGGGTTACTGAAGACCAGGGGCGATGGGGTAGCCTAGTGGTTAAAGTGTTTGCTCGTCACGCCGAAGACCCTGGTTCGATTCCCCACATGGGTACAATGTGTGAAGCCCATTTCTGGTGTCCCCCGCCGTGATATTGCTGGAATATTGCTTAAAGCGGCGTAAAACCATACTCACTCACTCACTGAAGACCAATATTCTAACCCGGATCTTCACGGGTCGGATCCTGGCACGACAAAGGGACGCAACTGTTACCATTGCTATAAACCACAATTATAATCAAGCCCTGATCTGGGTATGCTTCAGCCAGCAATATTACAACTATACTTCACAGACAACACAGTGATTGATTGTAGCAGTCAGAAAGGTGTGGCAGACATGATCATATACTATCACATTTAGGTCGTCTCTAATACGTTTTGTATTGTCTTACATGGTTGACAGATACGACGAGTCTAAAAACGGCCAGGAAGGTAGAAACTATCCCAGTTCAGACATTGTCATTTAAACCGATCCTTATCATTACACTTAGGGGAAGAAAATCGCAAGTTGTATCCATCCTGACCTGACAAGTGCACCTGCTCCACGGCACATAGGCCTAACTGTTTCACTGTTTAGTTTAACCACGACGAATACTATTCACAACTTCAATGACGTTTTGTTCCTGATGAACGCTAATTAATATTCCAAGAAAAAATAGTGAATTTCAAACTTTGATCGAGGTTTTCGTGAATAAGAAAAACGTATGAACAGATAAACACGGAGTAATTTTGTGTCGCACTCAGCAATATTCCAGCTATATGGCGGCGGTCTGTAAATAATCGAGTCTGGACCAGACAATCCAGTGATCAACAGCATGAGCATCGATCTACGCAATTGGGAACCGATGACATGTGTCAACCAAGTCAGCGAGTCTGATCCCCGATCCCGTTAGTGGCTTTTTATGACAACCATGGGTTACTGAAGACCAATTCTAACCCGGGTCTTCATGAGTTTCAGAGTAATTTTGGGGCATTCTGACCTGGACTGGCCACCGAAGTCATGACAGATGGCTCTTTATAATTGTCTAGTAAAGAATTGGGGATGTCGCTTTTCAGTATTGATGGATGGATTCTACCTCAACGTCGATGTAAGAAATCATCAACTTGTAAGCTACAGAAAAACAATATTACATGAAGCAAGTCTGGTTGCAACTGGTTAAGTGATGACCAGTGAAGTAAAATGAAATTGTTGACATATATTTTCAAAAAATGAAATCAGTCGAAATTCAAACCGTTGAAAATAACTACACATTTTAATACATATACTAATAAACCGTTGCTGAAAATTACAGAAATAGTTTCTCTGTCACCACCTGAATCTAAAATATGTTTGTTACAAAAAGTATAACAAAAGAAATCCCCCACCCAACCCCCACTCCTCCCCAAATAAAATAAAATCAGACAAAACAATACGTTCACGATACCAGGATGAGATATTTACAAATCCTGAGTTAAAAAAAACAAATGTTATTGTGTTCTCCGGAAACGTGCCCGACCGGTTGTCGTTAAACAGATAGTCTGACAACAGTGTTTTGAATTTCTGAAACGAAACAGTTCCAACCTCACAACAGACTGAGGAATCTCTCAACCATGTCTCATTATAAAACAAGATCCCCCGTGGTCTCACCAACAATATTTTCCGGCTTCTCCAGCGGGATACACCCATCCAGGTCCTCCCCACAGACGTCCTTCTTCGTCAGCGGATCCCCCGACCTCGCCACGTCAGCGTTGGCGTACATGTTCATGGGCATGAAACCGAACGTCTTCCGGGTGTCTGTGTAGCGAGGAGCCCAGTACAGCCCTCGCTCTAGCGGGTCCGGCTCGTAGGGGTGGTCAAAGTACAGATGTGTAGCCTGAGCCATTACCACCTGAAATACACAGACACTGGTACTGAAGGAGTGTGGGTGAGTGAGTTTAGTTTTACGCCGCACTCAGCAATATTCCAGCTATATGGCGGCGGTCTGTAAATAATCTAGTCCGGACCAGTGATCAACAGCATGAGCATCGATCTACGCAACTGGGATACGATGACATGTGTCAACCAAGTCGGTGAGCCTGACCACCTGATCCCGTTAGTCGCCTCTTACGAAAAGCATGGGTTACTGAAGATCAATTCTAACCCGGATCTTCACGGGTATAACGTACTGAAGAAAGAGCTAGAAAATGGCCTAAAAAGGAATAAATCCCATTTCTTAACACTGACTTACGACAGTCGTAGTGCTAAGGTTGCTTTGTACAACGGCTCCGCTGCCAGATGATTGTCATGTAACCGACTTTCATTTGCAACCCGTGAAGAACCAGGTTAGAATTGATTTTCAGCAACCCATGCTTGTCGTAAGAGGCGACTAACGGGATCAGGTGGTCAGGCTCGCTAACTTGGTTGACACTCGCCATCGTATCCCAATTGCGTAGAACTATCCCCATGATGTTGATCACTGGATTGTGTAATCCATACTCAAATATTTGCAGACCGCCGTCATATAGCTGGAATATTGCCGAGTCCGGCGTTAAACAATCAATCAACCAACCAACCAACCAGTAATACACGTGCACGATTTGGATAGCAATGACGTATTTGAAAGAAAGGGTCACTATTGCCAGCAAGACGAACTCTGTGGCCCACGGTGAAGTTTTTACCATATGTATTCTCTTTTGTGTCCGAATACTAGTATTTTTATAAAACAGCTTTCTCGAAACATTTGAATTTATCATTTTCAGCATGTAGAGCCTTATCTATTTATTTAGTAGTGTTATCAAGAAGATTCATGTTTTGTAATGAATGATATTAAGTTCGCATTCGTACAACACCTCTGTGGGTTCTGAAATTTAACACACCGAGACTATCAGAGATACATCCATTAGTAAGTGTCTATTAGGAAAATACACAATGGAATTATTGGCCCACAGTGAGGTATCACGTTTTATTGCATTTTCACACCCACTCACCACAGTAATTAAAGGACAGCGGCATTTCAGATCTGACAACATTTAGTAGTATTGTTTAGTGTTTTGAAATATAATTTGTTTTATGTGTGTTTATGTACAATTAACTGGTATTACACCTCTAACTTGGTCGTCTTATCTCGGTCACAGCACAGAACTAATCGGAATAATGAAGCATTGTCCCAGTTGAGGTAAACGCTTGTATCGAACAAGACCCAGTCAACTGTGAGAAATTACAATTACCTGTGATATGTACGTCTTTCAACTTTGGTTTGTGCGATGCTGAATGGGACTCCTATATCAATTAGTGACATAAATTGCATTAAAAGTCAACGATTTTCGATTGGATTACTCATAAAGTGGTTATTGAAAGGCGTAACTGTTTGAAAATATGTCTTTTTCATAAGAAGAACGCTGTTGACATCTGCAAAAACTTTTGAGGCAACTCCTTGTCTGTGCAGGAGATAGAGATAGAGCCGTTTGATACATGGATAACTTCTGACAAGGTCTGTATTGACAGACTCTTAGTCCTACTTACCTTGTATCCAGCGTTGGCGAGTTTGTACGCCCTGGCCGCGGCTCCCCACTCCCAGATGTTGTCCCAGGCGTATCCGTAAATGTTTTTATTCTGCAGCCCCCCTCTCTGGTAGGGAGTGCTCCCTGATTCCATCATACCATCCTCCCAGGCCGCTAAATCCAGCCCAAACTGAGAAGTGAGATTAGCCACTTGGCGGAGGAATAGTTGTTTGAGGATCTTCGTATCGGCGATATCGAACCCATTGCCAAACACTTGCTCACAAGCCGTGGAATTCTCCCATGCGCCTTTAGCAACTTCATCGCCACCAAAGTGAAATATTTTTAAAGGTGAAATGTCTTTGTGTAAATCATGCAGTGTTTTAACGATCTTGTGTATGAACCTGTAGGTTGATGGGAGACATGGATTCACGGCATTGTCAGTGTACATCTGGATGGACTTGTACACTGATGGGTCATTGGCTTCAACAAGGACATACTCGTTGGCTGCAGTCGCGTTGTTCTGGGCCAGGAAGCGTTTCCGTCTCGCTTCCATGGCCTTGATGACGGCGTGGCCGTGGCCTGGCATGTCCACTTCCGGGATGACCTCGATGTGATGGTCACGGGCGTACCGGACGATCTCTTGGTAGTCCTTGGTGGTATAGAACCCTGTGCCCGGGGCTATGGGGGGTGGGACCTGAGCCTAGGAAGGGCAAGATGCAATGTTCTTCTAATGGATCATGGCATCTGCGACCTGCTACCTGAAATTCAAATCTAAAGATGAGGGGTACTAATAGTAGCGTCCCTGGTATATGCCAGACCAGACTGACTGACTGAGTTTGGTTTTACGCCGCTTTTAGCAATATTCCACCAACATCACGGCGGGGGACACCAGAAATGAGCTTCACACATTGTACCCATGAACTAGGGTCTTCGGCGTGACGAGCCAACGCTTTAACCACTAGGCTACCCCACCGCCACCCAGACCAGACTGAATTGAGCGACAAGTTTGAAGTCATAAGGAATAGGCAATATAAAAAGGGGTGTTTACTCGTTCGTGTGCATGTGTGTGTACGTTTATATATGTGCTGGGGCGATGGGGCAGCATAGTGGTTAAAGTGTTAGCTCGTCACGCCGAAGACCCGGGCTCGATTACCTACATGGGTACAATGTGTGGTGTGAAGCCCATTTATGGTGTCCCCCGCCGTGATATGGATGGGCTATTGCTAAAAGCGGCCTAAAACTAAACTCACTCGTATATGTGCATGAGTGTTTAGTTTGAGAAAGTTGCTAATTTTCTGAAGCCGATATTTACATATGTACTTCAAGTTAGCTGGTTTAGATGATACGTTGCAGCAAGACGTCAAACCGTTTTACAAAATTAGCACAAAACACATAGCTTCACAGTAATATTGTATCATTAACCACATGTACATGTACACTCTGTAACTACTGGGAAAACTTAAAATCAGTTCTCAGTTAACACACAACCACTCCAAGAGAGGAGAAGATACTTGTCGTCATAGCTGACTATTTGCTATAATTGAAATTAATGTTTTAACACCGTCAATAAAATCTAAACGTTTCCAAGAAAATGAGTACAGGAAAATGCATTTTTTTTCTTAAATAGGATATATACTCAGGCAATAGTAGCACAAGATATTGAAAACAAAATAATCCCAAACTGATCGGACCTGAGTGAGTTCCTCAAGTCCGGGAATCTCCAGCCTCCAGCCCTCGTCATCAGTGAGATGAAGATGCAGCTTGTTTAGCTTATACATAGCCATGATGTTCATGAGGCGGAACACCTGCTCCTTGCTGTGGAAGTTCCTGGCCACGTCCAGCATCACGCCGCGGTAGGCGTACCGAGGAGAGTCCATGACGGTCACGTGGGGGGACGTTCAGGTCGTCGTCCAGCAGCTTCAGCAACGTCTGTATCCCATAGAAGATTCCCGCGGGAGCGCTGGCCCTGATTTCTATCACCGCATTGTCTGGGTCAACCGATAGGGAGTAAGCTTCCGGACTGTTTGTTTGTCTTCCGGGAAGGTTGACCTCCACCAGACCCTTGGTCAGTTTAATGTATCCGCTGCTTGGCTCCGTGGCTATGACGTTGATGCCCAGGCGTTCTGAAATTCGTATCATGACACATTAATAAACTACTAGGAATAGAACAACCACACAGCAAATCATTCATTTTATACTGCTAATGTCCTTCAAGGATTTATGTCAAAAAGCGTCGGTTGGGTGGAGGTATCTTTTAACGAAAATCTTAATCTTTCAAGATTTTGTAAGTGATGTCGGAGGACAGAAAAAGTAAATAATGGGTATTTGTAGTTGAATCATAAGATTACTTTACTTTGAAAAAATCTATTTCGGCTTGTTTTCATTGCTGATATTGCATAAAAGATCGGCCGAAGAAAGCAAAATATGTTATCATATGCTAATTGTATTCAATATTTGAGAAAATTTGAAACAACAATACAGAGGCCAAACAATTATTCTACTAGAAAATTAGGTTTGAAAATGATTTTAATATACCAAAAGGCATTTTGTATATGAATCAACGTATATGGTGTTAGAGAGATGTGCAGTTTTAATGTTACAGTAAAGAAGATTCAGTTATATAAAACGTAACTTGAAATTAATTTTTCTCAAGGGTTCCATCTGAAGCCGCAAACATAATTTAATTCCAATGTTAATTCCTTTGAATGCTAGTTTTGTACCATTTCATGTTTCAGACCGAAGTTCACGATGACACGGAACATTAATCCAACTATGATCTGAGCATGAAAGATCACGCCTGCCTTGGGTTACACTTGGATACAATCACAAACACTTGGCTGACATTTAATCTGTTTGAAGTGAGGCTTATCCCCACGTAAGTGACGTCACGGGTTACATATTTCTTTTCTAAAGAGCGAAGGAAATACAAAAAAGAACAAATTCGTCTTGCAGTATGTTAAATATGACCAAATACGTTTAAAGATTATCTATTGTTAAGTTTAAAGTCCTCAAACAACGTCACCGCCCCAAAGGTTCAACATATCTCTGAAGAGGTTAGCGAGTTCATCACAATTAGTGCAAAAACTGTAACCTGAAAAAATGTAATCGCTTATTCCAAATCAGTTATCAGAAGTAAGTATATTAAAACTAAGTTTCCAATAGAAGTTAAAAAGATATTTGAAATTCAAATTTGATAGAAATTCCTCGATGTATGTGTTTGTTATTCACTACAGATAACATGACGCCACGGGATCTTGTGAAATATTGGCAAGAGGCCAGATTACTGCAAGCTTATGAAGGGCATATGTTGGACAAAGAAATTCATAGCAACATGCAAATCTCAGAAACTGTTGCCTTATTTACAATCAGTGCTTTGTTTTTCCTATAATCTAAACGGTCATACAAAATATGTGTTGACATATGCTTCTTATTTTGGACAACAATCCATTAGCTATTTTGTGTCTTATTAGCTCTTTGGGTGGATTTAAGACAGGACGGTTAATCTTAAAGACAACATTCTTGTCAGGTGCACTGGTTACATCTGTCGCAAGAAATAACCCATACAAATTGACTTAACAGAGAAAATGTGTGTGCTTTGGGGAAAAAATGCTAAAACCTGCAAGAAACTGCAATTCATGGCTAACATAGTTGGCAGCAAAGTTAAACTGGATTAAGCTTGAAGGGCTTAAAAGCATCTCCCTGCTAACCTCTCAAACACAACTGCAATTACCTGCACAAAAGGAAACAAGATTTTCTTCACAAACCCTACATGCTAAATAATGCACTTTGTGGCTAAACTGATGAAAAACTGCTGCAGATTCTTTAGACAGCTTATAGGACAAAGCCTCAAATATAATTGACATATAAACAGTTGTGTCATATTCATAAAAACTAATCTTAAATGCTACCTGAAATATCACGCCTATATTTCATGACGTTAGTTGCAAGACAGGTATGCACAACTTATTTCATACTGTAAACAGGTTTCTGAGAGCTTAGAAAATAAAAACAATGCTTACCTGCAAGATATGTTGCTTCATAGCTGAAGTTTCCAGCATCAAATATCCTCCAGTCTTTTGTTTGTAAAGAGATCTTATCTTTTCCATTAACTGACATCTTAGCTGGAGTGGGAATTAGATGATTGTTGGCAGATCCAAGGTCTTTTGTGTCTTTATTCATGGAATATCTGACTCTGGGGGTGAATGGGTCGTATCTGTCATGGCCTTCACCTTCTTCGGTTATAAAATCATACCTTTTCCATTTATTAGGGGCGTCAAAATCTCCCACAAAGTCAAAAGATTCTCCCGCAGTGCTAAGGATGACTCTTGACTCTAGTCCTTCAGATGCAACGTACCAGTTCGGAAGTCCATCAGATTTGGACACGGAGAAATTTTCAGATAGAAACTTGACACTTCTTGTTGCTCCTGGAGGAATTGCCTGGAAATTGTCCAACAGTTCCAGCATAAACAGACAGCCTTGCGTATGGCGGAACCTGATGCCGTAGTTCTCAAGAACAGCACCTTCTACTGAAGGAAGGAACTCTGGTTCCAGAAGGTTCAGGTGACAAAAATATATGGACCAGCCCTTACCAGGAATCGTCTTGGACCCTGTATTGGTCATTGTTATTTGGGCTTCAAACGTCTTCAGAGCATCGCGGAGATTGTCGATGACGTCGTACCTCACATCCATGTACCGAGCTATATAGTTGAGAGTTTCTTGGCGGAGCCCTGGGGATCAAAGAGTGGGAATTGCTATGATATTTTATTCATTGTCCTCTTTTGAAAACAAAGGTTCGAGCTAAATCATGCTTTGAATGGAAATAGTTTTTAAGCTTTCAAAACAGTGGCGGGAGTGTGTGTTTGCATCGCAAGGGAAAGCAAATAAATAACACAAGAATAAATTGGAAACACAAATGTGGACTGACACGTTTTGTATTGACTCGGTTGTTACACAGATTGTTTTTCTGCATGTTTCCCATATAGGCAGCTGTCAGAATAATAACGAGAAGCATTGTATTGAGTGGACTCTTCGAGTCTTGTGTCAATAACCCGAGACCAGTCTTACCGATATTCCATTGTACAATTTCAACATCAATACGTTTTTCAATGTACGGACAGAAAAAAATTAACTACAACAACAAACAAAACAAAAGCGAATCTAATAATTTTTCTGATGGGTTGACTATTATTATGGGATTTCGTGTGGTTGTTAGACCAGTTTCCATGTATTTCTACCATAGCCATTCATTCCCAAACATACCTCTCTGGGACTGTCTATGACCATAAAATGTCACTACTTCTTACGAGCGAATATTCCTTCATTTTCTATATTTATTCACCTTCACAACAATACACCGAACTTGCGCGTCATTAGATCATTTCTCTCATTTGTTCATTGAGAAACACCACAGGAGGGAATGGATCGCCCTGTTGTCTACAGCGCCGCCATAAGCTGTGAAGATCTGCTTCCCTTTGGAAGTTCGTGGGTTCGAATCCCAGATTTGCCCTGAATATGTTTCTAGGTTTGTCAGCACCAGACCCGTGTTCGTGGCTTTCACCAAAGTTGTAAACGTCTAAGGACTGAGTTGCTTTGCGCTTTCTTTCGACATCAAGTTACCATGTATGGAACACTGTTGACAGCGGTGTCGAATCAAACCAGCTCACTGAATAGGCTATAGTGGACACCACGATCGTCACTGTGAAGTATCATTTCCGTCAAATGCGTTATACCCTATTAAATCTTAATAACCAGTAAGTAGGTAACAATGACAAACAACATACACTTGTTCCGGTCTAATAAAGTCATATTTGGCGGTCGCGCAATTTGGAACCAAAACTGGTTCTTGAATACACGCTTGTCACCGGAAATCTGTTACCGGAAATCTGGGCCCGTCTCGCATATAGCAACACTTACAGGCCTTATTTGGATAAGTCGATATGCCTTGTTGTTATTTGCATAAGCATAATTTAGAATAATTTATGCTGAATCGTATACTTCGTTAGCGAAATTCGGTAGTTTGTCAACTATAGTTATCGACCATGCTTATGTTTGTGTTTACTGATATCATATATTTGTTTTAACTGAAACAACTTTAAATTATAATTTACCCTGAATAGGTTTTAAGCGCATGCACAGCAATTCATTCAGCAAGGTTGTGTCCCCTTAGCGCGCCACAAGCCTGTGATCGTGGGTTTGAATCGCTGTTCGCCCCAACACCAAATCCATGCTCACGGGTTTCACTAAAGTGGTAAATATTTACGACCTGTATCATTTAGGGTTTTCCTCCCACTTTAAGCTGACACGCGGGTAACTGACTAAAATACTTTGTTAAAGAGCCAAATCAGACACTCATTAACTCACTGTAGTATTTATTGTTAAACGTTTAATTAGGCGTGTGAACATTAGACTCGAACAGAACACATTTCAACCATAGGTGACAGTTACGATTAACAATCTCACATGGTGAGTTTAAATTTAGCGACTAATATGTTGCTGAGGCAAAGCGTCAGCCATACTCGGTCAGAATAGCTGGCTAATCCGCGGAGTAAAGGCGAGGTCTCACACAAACAAACAGCACTAGCCCCGTGCCACATAACACAGCTCCGACACCAAGATTCCCTACATGGCCCCAGGGTCACATGCAGAGCTGGGCAATTGAGCCCAAGGGAGGAAATGTCAACAATTCCCTTTGTTTAAATACTGGCGGCAAATACGTCAACAACTTTACATACCAAGTAGTGAATCGGGAGGAAGAGTTTGAAACAGAGGATGGGTTTTGTCAAATCCAATAAATGACTTGAAGAAGAAAAAAAATATTTAAGCCAATGATTCATATTGCACAGCGGCTTTTGAAGAAACAGTGTTGTCAGAAGGTCTTGCAAGCGAAACCTTCTGTTGGTTCGTGTCAATGGACGTTGTTGATAAAGTGCTGCCGAGCGCTGTTTTTTTTATTGCTTTAAGCCGTTAGAAGAATCTTCATCCGGAATTCCGATGACATAACGGAGACGATGTTGGCACGAGACCGACGGAATAATCTGACGCAATATCTATACTATTTTGTGAGAAATCTCTGGCATCATTACAACGTATTTGATATTTACGTTTATCAATAATGACTTTTCGAATGCGCGTATTAGAATTTTTCGTGAACTTTAAACCTGATAATATTGTGTTAAAGATTTCGTTGATATGGAAATATTCAACTTTCAAAACTTTTGACAATGTGTAACAAATGAATACACAATGCCATTTAGAAAGTGGTCAAATGTAACAAATATTATATTTCTATATTTGGGATTACACTTTCTCAGTAAAGGACAGATTCTCTTTTGACAACAGTCGTCATAAATTTCTTATTATGTTATTTTACCAATTTTGTATGCGAATTATTTAGCAGATTAGGTGTTTAAAGGTTAATTTGAGAAGTATATCAACCTAACCAATTACGAACAAACACATGTAGGATATTTTGAATGATGGATCACACATTGATGAATGACAAAATGTAAATGAAACCTAAGAATCCCACCTTTACAAAGTTATTGCTATTTGTCTCTCGGTATTGATTCGTGTTTAAAGACGATGGCAACCAAGATAACAATATTGGTGAATATTATAAAATTAATTTCTATGAAAAGGACCTGTCCCCTTTTGTTTAAACTGTTGCTGGTGCAATGTTAAATATTAACTGACTCACTCCAAAACTAATTCTAATTTGAAGCAAAAAAATATATTGTCGTTAATTTGACCAATGGAACGTGTCCTGGATTTCATTAGGCTTTCACGGCTGATCTTTGGAAGAGATGGACATTGAGTGACCACATGTATCAACATTAAAGGGTACGGGGATCCTTATGCATGTATGCATACAGGTATATTTTAGCGAGCGGTGTCTGTCATAGTTCACCAACAACAGGGCTTCATGGAGAGAAACCGAACATTTCCTCGAGCTGAGACTTTTTGAAATAGGATTGGGAAATTATATTTAAACATTATGAAATGACCCTGTTTGGGTAAACATTTTTTGTGTGATTAAAACAAGTTAATTCTGCAGCTAATGAAAGAATATCCTTACATATCTTTAAGGAAAATTTCAAGATATAGGAAAATCCGTTCATAACGCACACGCTCATAACGAACTGATTGATATAACGAACTTTTGTTTCGGACATGATGTATGTTTTAGTCGAAAAGTATATATAATCAACCACGCTTATAACGAACTAAAATTAGTGGTCCCTTTGATTCGTTATAACCGTAGTTTACTGTTAATAGATGATATCAAATTTATGACAGAGATATATTCAAAAAGGAAATAACACGTTGTTTATCTAACAAGCAGCCTCCTCCCCGGAAAAAACCTCCCGTCCATCAAACACGCACACATCACACAGCAAGACACACTGACGCACACAGGCAGTCAGACTGACAGCCACAGACGCAGACGCACACGCGCACGCACGCAGACACACTCACGAACGCACGCTCAGACATTGGGTGGAACTTGTGGATCACATTTGTGACACCCAAGAGCACAGACATGGTGCTGACAATCAAGGATCGGTGCCAAGGGTTAGGGCATACATGGAATAAGAGCTCCCTATTACCGGATCCTGATACTCCCCCGGGAGGCAACTCCGTACAGAGATTGGCGGGGCCTCTGACTAGTGTGTCCTGCCCTATTGCCATATTGCATGACTGCCCGACGTACTTCTTCGAACGTGTAGCAACAACGTTTGCAGTCATTCCAGGAACACCTGATGTCCCGTAATAAATTAATTATAATTGATAATTTATAATAATTATATGTGAGTGGCGGCTGTTGAATTTGCCTGTTCTATATTGATTTTTGAAATGTCGCTTCCGTCTTGGTTTTGGATTGGGTGGTATGTTTATAAAATGGCATAATGGTATGAATACGTCCATGACCTTGACCTTTCCATTTTACCCAGATGCCTTCTATGTTACGTTCCGTTTACGTCTCATTATTTTAACTCTCCGTCGGTGAGTAGAATGGGTTGTCTTTTAACTCTGTGCATTATGATAACAAAGTTATTACGTCGCCTTAACGTGTCCACCTTCTTCCTTCCGCTATACCTTGATACTCTTCAGGTGTGTCCAGGTAAATCTAAAACCTCGAGATGCCGTTAAAATACCAGTCTACAAATTTATGGCCTTTGATTTCTCCCAGAATTCCTTGGTCGAATCCAGGAAAAAGATTATTGCGTTTTCTTTGTCAGGACAATAGCCTTCTCGAAAATTTCTCTAAATTGGTAATGGTTTACATCCTGCTAACCGTCCTCCAACACGGTGCTTCCACATTAAGACATAAGTGAATATAGAGAATAATTAACTCTCAAATAAGGTCGGTGCACTTTGGTATGTCGCATCATAAGCGTTGAACGTCTTCAATTTAAACCCGATTCAACATCGATAAAAACATTCAAGTTATATAAGTAGAAAATAAAGAGATTGTATGATCTCCTTTATTATTTAGTCTGAGGTGTATAGGCCTCTATACCTCTCAGTTTATCATACTATTTTGTGTTTGACTTTTAACTGTAAATGTGTTATGTTACCGATATTATGTCCTAAATAGTAAATTGTTTGGGAGAGGACCATCACCTGGGCCAGCAGGGAATTCTACTACATGTCTTTTTAAAATATAATTTAATTTATCTCTTTTGATTAATACAAATGACATAATATACAACTGCTCATTTGTGCTTATAAAACTAAATGAATTTGTCTTATACGTTTACACAAGTGTACTTTTCATACAAGGTAATGGCCATATGGTTGCAAACTCATTTCTAACCCCAACCTTCACTGAACCGTTTATAAAAGTATATTTTTATTTTTATTCAAAGTTACCGAACACATTACTCTGTACCAAATGTTTCAGGAAGGAGTGATAGTTAAAAACATATGCTTCACTGAACCATTTATTTTATTCAAAGTTTATTTTTATTCAAAGTTACCGAACAAATTACTCTGTACAAAATGGTTCAGGAATGAGTGATACTTAAAAACATATGGTAAAATCTAATAACAGTTTTAATTTAGAATTACATAAAAACAACTTGGCATTCTTTCTTCTGCCTTATGGTTCATCTAAACAAACGATTTAGCCGAAAAAAACATTATAAAAATATTGATATTTTAAGTGACTCCATGTAAACAATAAAAAGAGATATGTATGCGACCCAAAAACATCTCAACATATTTCACGAATTCTGTCAAGGGAAAATGTTATTGCGTCATTGAAATCCATACATAAAAGTCTTTTAAGCGAAGTCTTAACTTCATAGTCACCCAAGTTTCCAGTTGCACTTTACATGGTATGCCAACCCTAGAATAGCATCAACATTGAAATAGGTAAGAAAGAGGTTGCCAGGAATGCTATGTAATTTCCTCGGGGGTATTAATCGTACAGCAAATAGCGAAGGCATACCATTCTGCACGTGCTCTTGTAACTAGGGTTAATTTAAAAAGGTTATTTGCACAATGTTCCACGTGTGATCCTGTTGTATTTGCTGTGACTTAAACGTCTTTAAATATTTGACGTTTTTGCATTCTTAAGAAAATAAGTTAATGTGAACACCATAAATAATTTGTTACGTTGTTTTACTCATGCTACTTTCTTTTCTCTCTCAAGAACGTGGCCCTAACAAGACATTATAGAAAGGGCTTTGGACTAACTGAAGAACAAATATTGGTTGTGTTTCTACAAATGTCTCCTTCTGGCCACACGCCTCGTATTTATTTCAGGAGTCACTCTGTCCAAACACAGTCACCGCTCAGTGTTAATCTTTCCCTTCAACACAAGGGAACGACTTCGTCTTGGTTCACGTTTTGGGAACATATCTATACAGTTTACTGTTTGTATTGAAAGAAGAGACCACTAAATAGAAACTTACGTATAAAATGAAAGAAAAGAATACTTATTTCTGACGTTCCCAGTCCAATATCAAACAGATTGAAAGGTTGATCATAATTCTTTGTATCCCACTACAATCACGACTTCTGTATATCTAAATATTAAATGTTCAGCTGAAAATGGAACGGAAATACACAAATGCAGGAAGAGATATTGAAAATCGAGTTAAAATATTTCTGACCTGATAATATCATAATTAATATAAGTCGTCACAACTAAAAACATCAATTTCCAAGTCAATTCGTGTAACGAATTTTCAAATCAGTTATAGATTTCAACCATTATAACGTTGAAAATTCACGTCAGCTGACGTAATTAAAAACGCCGAAACCATCTTACCGTACAGTGGTGTGGAGAGATAGTTAATAGCAAATAGACAGATGATGGGACTCAGGTAGTCCTTCATGGCTGCGTCGAGAAGACCAGGAGCAGCCCAAGGTACGATGTGTGCTGGCTCAACCCAACACAGCGTCTGACGAGGTGATGGCTAGCGTCTGGCGACGGGATAGCTGGCCCCGTCATATGAACGCTGACTCGTCTCACGAGCCCTACCGGCTAATGCTAGTGGAGAGGGCCGCGGCACGAGAGCCGACGTTGGCTCACGAATGTACCTCTGTTTAGCCTTGAACACCGGCGCGTCACATGATGTGGAGATTGGCACGTTAGGTTAAGTCTGACTGTTGTGGTGACATTAGCTATTGTGGCCAGTGATAGTAAGACGCGAACTCGAACCACATGACGTTTTTTTATTGGTTTAGGAAACATTACATAACACTGCAAAATACGATGGTTACTTTGTGGAATTTTTTTGATGGAAGATGTCAGCAAATATGTTGTAAGGGATTTGCATGTTTACGTACATGTTCAGCAACATTTTGTGAAAAAAGTTAAATATATTTTAATACGATATAGTGGTTAAAAGGTTAAAAGATAATTTCTGTTGTCCATACGTGTATAACAGGAGCGTTTTATAATTTCTTCCTTTCATAGAAAAAGATCATATAAGTCCTCATGATTAAATGTATCGTGAAATACAGTTTAATGCATTGATGTGAAAGTGCTGCTTGTGGCTATGGTTTAGTAGATGCAATAATAGGTATATATAAACAACATGTATTTAATGAAAAGGCAATATAGGTTTTATTCAGAACCGTCAGAATTCGTGAGGATCCGGGTTAGAATTGGTGTTCAGCAACCCCTGCTTGTCGTAAGACGCGACCAACGGGATCGGGTGGTCAGGCTCGCTGACTTGGTTGACACATGACATCGTATTCCAATTGCGCAGATTGATGCTCATGATGTTGATCACTGGATTGTATGGTCCAGACTCTATTATTTACACACCGCGGCCATATATCTGGGAATATTGATGAGTGCGGCGTTAAACCACATGCCATACCAAAATTAGAACAGTCGGCTAATATTGTACATCTATAGAGACAATGGAAATGGACAGTTAATTGTAGAGATGAAAAGTTTTAATTATTTCACAAGGAGTTATCACTGGCGGCAGGAAGTGAAGTCAAGTTATCAGATGTAATTTGAATACGTGACATTACGCTGTCACACAGGCCTCTGTAACTTGTTGTGTTACTGACATCATGTGGGGTGTCTTTCTTGTAGAATATGAACACGAACCCCTCTTAATTGTGAAATGCAACGCTTCATGAATATATGCACTGGGGTTTGCACCTCAGAAAGAGGATATACATACCAACACTGACCTAGATAAACACTGTAGTAGCAAACTCAGATCTCAAAAGCACTAACCAAGCAAATACATATCTCCCAAACACTGTCCTAGCTATCTCTTATCTCAAGCACTGTCCTATGTATCTCTTATCTCAAAGCACTGTCCTATCTATCTCTTATCTCAAGCACTGTCCTATCTATCTCTTATCTCAAGCACTGTCCTATCTATCTCTTATCTCAAAGCACTGTCCTATCTATCTCTTATCTCAAAGCACTGTCCTATCTATCTCTTATCTCAACCACTGTCCTATCTATCTCTTATCTCAAGCACTGTCCTAGCTTGTCTTATCTCACACACACTGACATGACAAACACATATCTCACAAACACTGTAATAACAAACTCAGATATCACAAACACTGTAGTAGCAAACTTAGATCTCAAAACATTGACCTTCCAAACACATATCTCACAAACACTGTAGTAGCAAACTCAGACCTCACAAACACTGTAGGAACAAACTTAGACCTCACAAACACTGGGATAACAAGCACAGATCTCACAAACACTGTGATAACAAACACAGATCTCACAAACACTGTGATAACAAACACAGATCTCACAAAAACTGTAGTAGGAAACTCAGATTTCACAAACACTGTGACAGCAAACTCAGATATCACAAACACTGTAGTAGCAAACTCAGATCTCACAAACATTGTAATAGCGAACTCAGATCTCACAAGCACTGTGGTATCATAGCAAACTCAGATCTAAAAAACACTGACCTTCCTGTGATAGCACACTCATCTCTCACAAACACTGTAATAGCAAACTCAGATCTCATAAACAATGTAATAGCAAACTCAGATCTCACAAACACCTGTAATAGCAAACTCAGATTTCACAAAACTCAGATTTCACACTGTGAATAATAAAACTCATATCTCAAAAACACTGTAATAGCACTCAGATCTCAAAAAAACTGACAGTCCTAACACATATCTCACAAACAGTGTAATAACAAACTTAGATCTCATAAACATTGTAATAACAAACTCAGATATCAAAACACTGACATTCCTAACACATCCAATAACAAACTTAGATCTCATAAACATTGTAATAACAAACTCAGATATCAAAACACTGACATTCCTAATATCTCACAAACATCTCATAAACATTGTAATAACAAACTCAGATATCAAAACACTGACATTCCTGACACATATCTCACAAACAGTGTAATAACAAACTTAATCTCACATGTAATAACAAACTCAGATATCAAAAAACATATCTCACAAACAGTGTAATAACAAACTTAGATCTCATAAACATTGATCAGATATCAAAATCACTACCTTCCTGAACAATCTCATAAACATTGTAATAACAAACTCAGATATCAAAACACTGACATTCCTAACACATATCTCACAAACACAAACAGTAATAACAAACTTAGATCTCATAAACATTGTCAATAACACTGATATCATTCACTGTACAAACTTAGATCTCATAACACATATCTCACAAACACAGTGTAATAACAAACTTAGATCTCATAAACATTGTAATAACAAACTCAGATCTCAAAATCACTGACCTTCTAAACATATCTCACAAACAGTGTAATAACAAACTTAGATCTCATAAACATTGTAATAACAAACTCAGATATCAAAACACTGACATTCCTAACACATATCTCACAAACAGTGTAATAACAAACTTAGATCTCATAAACATTGTAATAACAAACTCAGATCTCAAAATCACTGACCTTCTAAACACATATCTCACAAACAGTGTAATAACAAACTCAGATCTCATAAACATTGTAATAACAAACTCAGATATCAAAACACTGACATTCCTAACATTTATCTCACAAACAGTGTAATAACAAACTCAGATCTCAAAATCACTGACCTTCCAAACACATATCTCACAAACACTAGCCTTCCAATATCAACATACGCACTGGGGACCACCTCACACCATGACAGCATGACTGTTACACCTTGACACCACCTGACATAAAGATAATCTGAACATTACAATTCGACACATCTTGACATAACGTCTAAGGTTGTCACAGAATGTAATTTAGCCTCTTATTCCTTTAATATGTGTGAATACTGTAAAACATAACCCCTTTTGCATGTCAGTTAAACGTTATTTGGCCCTGGCTCACTAATCACAAAAGTACATTGTTGCTGATATTTTTGTGATTTTACAGATGGAAAGTACACGACGTTGTCAAATTGACATGAATGAGGAAAAAAATGGAATGAGACTGTAACATATTCTCCGTCTCACCTGTTCAGGCACATGTAGCTCGTGACAAACGAATTTCGTGACATTCCGCTTTAATCGAATGGGAAATGTCCGATAAGTGAACAATAACAGGGATCGGGCGACAAACGTCGCCCCCATCCTGCCGTCAATGCTGCTGCTCTGTATGCACAACGTGCTCTGCAGTAGCCAAACCTCTGGCGTTAACCGAGAGAATGATGGGTGTGTAAGACCCTTCGCAACGCATAACGTTCAAACTGTTGTATCTGGCCACAAACCTCTGGCAGTTAGCCGAGATGAGCTCAGTGGGGTTAAACTCATAGTGTTGGACAGGAGGACGTATAGCCATGTGACCATGAAGACAAGGTTGCCTTGTAGATGTTTTGTTTACTCTGATTTTATTTATGAGTTGCAGCTTTGTCTCGGATAGATTCAAGTGAACATAACGGGTTGTATATTACTGTTGTATATGACCTTCAAACTGCTTGCATCTTGGGTTATGTACATAGTTTCTGGTTTTAGGATGCTAAGGAACAACGCGTCATCCATCACTATCATGTGTTTGTTGTTTTACGCCGCACTCAGCTGTATATCAGCTACATGGCTGTCTGGACCAGACAATCCAGTGATCAACAGCTTGAGCATCGATCTACGCATTTGGGATACGATAACTATCGTTTACTATTACATTCTCAAAGTCGCACGGCGTAAGGGAAACTCCACATCTCTCTCCGGCCGTTGGTTGAGGATCATTTAAGCCATCCATTGAACACTGATCAATTCATTTCTCTTTTGCAATCGCTCAATCACTGATTCCTTGGCCAACATACCTTCATCAAGAGGGCTTGCCATCCCTCGCCACATGGCAGTACGGGTTCGAATATCATTGGCCTTCAAAATGCTCATAAAGTATGTGGAGATTTTGTTTTGCCCACGTTTCATCAAAAAGGTAAAACCATTAACAACCGAAGTCATATAAAGTATGTGGGGATTTTGTTTTGCCCACCTTTGCATCAAGTCCATTGTGAGATCGTCACAACTCTTTTGTATTTGAACCAAGTTCCACAAAAGCAACTACTTGTAAAGCATTGGTGACGTTTAGCAAAACTTAAATTTCAATCTGAAGCGTTTTAGTTGAACAAAGATTACGTTTAGATTTATACTCTATTATCAAACTATCTGGTGTGAGTATTCTTACTTTTCTTCCCAGTCTGTTTGGACACAGCCCTTACATGTTTCCATTTATTGGCAATCTGGTGCGTGTGTTTATGTTGCAACCCAAGAGTCTTGTAGGATCTTTTATTGTCATACCTAACGATGGTCCATCCTTGTCCTTCTCTTCGACAAAAATAGTATGCATTGTGGACAGCTATACGAATTTACACTAAACGATATTTGTTTCTGGGG